CACTTGGCCATCTCCAGAGGGCAGTCATTAGGGATGGGAGTTCTTTGGAAGGGAGGCTTACAGCTACTGTAAATAATAGTTGAGAGGAGCTATATTTGTTTTACATCTTTTGCAAAGTGGGTGTGGTGAGGCAGCTACATTTAACTCCAGCTGAGGAGTTAGTGGAAAATTCCCCTGCCCAGAGCTAATGAATGGCTCTTTTCTGGTAGAGTTTTTGTTGACTTCAAAAACCTGTACCAAGACTGGGATGGGGTGAGCCTGGTGATTTGGGTTTTGGATAGGCAAACCCGACATTTACTGATTGAAGGAGAGGAAGGGAAGAGATAGGGAGTGAGAAGTTTGCCCTGAGCAAAGGTTTAGATCTCAGGCTCTCCTGCTTTGGGTTACAGTGAGGCCCAAGCTCACCATCACCATCGACACCAATGTGAACAGCACCATCCTGAATCTGGAAGACAATGTACAATCATGGAAGCCTGGAGACACCCTGGTTATTGCAAGTACTGATTACTCCATGTACCAAGCAGAAGAGTTCCAGGTGCTTCCCTGCAAAGCCTGTGCCTCCAACCAGGTCAAAGTAGCAGGTAGGACTTTCACTAACCCTTCCCTAGGCTAGACGAATCTGAAAATTGTTAGGCTTAAAGTTGATGGAAATCACAACAAATCTGTATCAGTCAGCTATTGCCATAATAATGCTGCATAACAACAACAACAACAACAGCAACCCTTTGAAATCTCATGGCAAGCATCTATTTCTTACCTATGCATCTGCAGGCTGTCTGGGGTTCAGTTTCTCTTGACTAAGCTTTGCTTTAGGCTGAGTGGGGTTCAGGTCAGCTCCATGTGGCTCTCATTCTTCTCAGAACATACTGTGCTCATGGGGAAGAAGTGAGCAGAAACATGGGAGGACTCTTAAGGCCTGTGCTCAGAACTAGAACATTCTCACACCCATTTTCCATTGACCAAAGCAAACCACATGGTGCAGTAGTCAAGGTCAATTTTTCTTAGTGGGAGGAGTTATGTATCAATTAGTGTTCTTGGTTGTAAGCAACAGAATCCAACTTGACTATCTTAAGCAAAAAAGAATTCACTGGGCAGCTATTGAACTTAGAAAACTAAGTAGAAGCTGAGTAGCCAGGCTGCAGAAGGACCAGGAATAGGGCAGCTGCAGGGGTCTGGGTAGCAGGGACAAATGGGCAGCATCCTTAGGGCACTGCTGTCTGCAGGAACTATGCTTCATTCCTGGGATGTAGTGCTCAAAAGTCACCTTCCAGGGAGAAAGCACTGATTAGGCTGATATCCTGTGTGTTCACCCTCTGGCTGGGGCACCTTCAATGACCATCCCTCCAAGACCACATTGAATGGACAAAGAGTCACTCCCTAAAGGAAAATTGGGATGTATTACCAGAAGAAAGGAGAATCAATACTGGGTATTAAAAATATCAGCTACTCCAGGACCATTACGCCTGGAGAAGTATTGGAGTTTGTGAGCAGGAGGGAGACTATAGACTGAGAAAGCATAGCCAATATAGTCAAAATATCTATTATTTTGGAAGTAAAACTACAAAAAGTAAAATTCAGCAGATTCGTTTCGACTCACAGCCCAGCCTCCGCCACTCCCCGTGAAGTTATTAGGCTCAGAGTGGACCATCTTGCTCAGAAGCTTTAGGGCTTACATGGAAACAATGGCTCCTGGTGGAGAGCATCAGAAGAGCCCACGGTAGGGGTATGTGTGAGGAGTGTGTGTAGCGGGGTGTGTGTGTGTGTGTGTGTGTGTGTGACCGTCTGTCTTTCTGTCCTGGAAAGGCTCACATTTCTCCTATTCAGCTCCAAGCCTCTTGTCTGGCTCTCCATCCCCCACTGACGTGAAGCAA